TGCCTGGCTCGGAGACGAATCTTGTTCGGCGCTTCTTCGCATTCGCCTTCTGTCGGCAAGTCGTTGTGCACGGTGTGGCTCACTTCGGACGGTTTCTCCTCGCTCCTTCTCCAATTCGTCCCGCGCAGACCGGCCAAGATGCAGACCGCCCAAGATGAGCTCGCAGCTCGTCGATCGAATACGCTGCTTGGCTCGGAGAACGAATCTTGTTCGGCGCTTGTTCGCATTCGCCTTCTGTCGGCAAGTCGTTGTGCACGGTGTGGCTCACTTCGGACAGTTTCTCCTCGCTCCTTCTCCAATTCGTCCCGCGCAGACCGCCCAAGATGCAGACCGCCCAAGATGAGCTCGCAGCTCGTCGATCGAATACGCTGCCTGTCTCGGAGAACGAATCTTGTTCGGCGCTTGTTCGCATTCGCCTTCTGTCGGCAAGTCGTTGTGCACGGTGTGGCTCACTTCGGACAGTTTCTCCTCGCTCCTTCTCCAATTCGTCCCGCGCAGACCGCCCAAGATGCAGACCGCCCAAGATGCAGACCGCCCAAGATGAGCTCGCAGCTCGTCGATCGAATACGCTGCCTGGCTCGGAGAACGAATCTTGTTCGGCGCTTGTTCGCATTCGCCTTCTGTCGGCAAGTCGTTGTGCACGGTGTGGCTCACTTCGGACGGTTTCTCCTCGCTCCTTCTCCAATTCGTCCCGCGCAGACCGCCCAAGATGCAGACCGCCCAAGATGCAGACCGCCCAAGATGCAGACCGCCCAAGATGAGCTCGCAGCTCGTCGATCGAATACGCTGCCTGGCTCGGAGAACGAATCTTGTTCGGCGCTTCTTCGCATTCGCCTTCTGTCGGCAAGTCGTTGTGCACGGTGTGGCTCACTTCGGACGGTTTCTCCTCGCTCCTTCTCCAATTCGTCCCGCGCAGACCGGCCAAGATGCAGACCGCCCAAGATGAGCTCGCAGCTCGTCGATCGAATACGCTGCTTGGCTCGGAGAACGAATCTTGTTCGGCGCTTGTTCGCATTCGCCTTCTGTCGGCAAGTCGTTGTGCACGGTGTGGCTCACTTCGGACGGTTTCTCCTCGCTCCTTCTCCAATTCGTCCCGCGCAGACCGCCCAAGATGCAGACCGCCCAAGATGAGCTCGCAGCTCGTCGATCGAATACGCTGCCTGGCTCGGAGAACGAATCTTGTTCGGCGCTTGTTCGCATTCGCCTTCTGTCGGCAAGTCGTTGTGCACGGTGTGGCTCACTTCGGACAGTTTCTCCTCGCTCCTTCTCCAATTCGTCCCGCGCAGACCGCCCAAGATGCAGACCGCCCAAGATGAGCTCGCAGCTCGTCGATCGAATACGCTGCCTGGCTCGGAGAACGAATCTTGTTCGGCGCTTGTTCGCATTCGCCTTCTGTCGGCAAGTCGTTGTGCACGGTGTGGCTCACTTCGGACAGTTTCTCCTCGCTCCTTCTCCAATTCGTCCCGCGCAGACCGCCCAAGATGCAGACCGCCCAAGATGCAGATCGGCCAAGATGAGCTCGCAGCTCGTCGATCGAATACGCTGCCTGGCTCGGAGAACGAATCTTGTTCGGCGCTTGTTCGCATTCGCCTTCTGTCGGCAAGTCGTTGTGCACGGTGTGGCTCACTTCGGACGGTTTCTCCTCGCTCCTTCTCCAATTCGTCCCGCGCAGACCGCCCAAGATGCAGACCGCCCAAGATGCAGACCGCCCAAGATGCAGACCGCCCAAGATGAGCTCGCAGCTCGTCGATCGAATACGCTGCCTGGCTCGGAGAACGAATCTTGTTCGGCGCTTCTTCGCATTCGCCTTCTGTCGGCAAGTCGTTGTGCACGGTGTGGCTCACTTCGGACGGTTTCTCCTCGCTCCTTCTCCAATTCGTCCCGCGCAGACCGGCCAAGATGCAGACCGCCCAAGATGAGCTCGCAGCTCGTCGATCGAATACGCTGCTTGGCTCGGAGAACGAATCTTGTTCGGCGCTTGTTCGCATTCGCCTTCTGTCGGCAAGTCGTTGTGCACGGTGTGGCTCACTTCGGACAGTTTCTCCTCGCTCCTTCTCCAATTCGTCCCGCGCAGACCGCCCAAGATGCAGACCGCCCAAGATGAGCTCGCAGCTCGTCGATCGAATACGCTGCCTGTCTCGGAGAACGAATCTTGTTCGGCGCTTGTTCGCATTCGCCTTCTGTCGGCAAGTCGTTGTGCACGGTGTGGCTCACTTCGGACAGTTTCTCCTCGCTCCTTCTCCAATTCGTCCCGCGCAGACCGCCCAAGATGCAGACCGCCCAAGATGAGCTCGCAGCTCGTCGATCGAATACGCTGCCTGTCTCGGAGAACGAATCTTGTTCGGCGCTTGTTCGCATTCGCCTTCTGTCGGCAAGTCGTTGTGCACGGTGTGGCTCACTTCGGACAGTTTCTCCTCGCTCCTTCTCCAATTCGTCCCGCGCAGACCGCCCAAGATGCAGACCGCCCAAGATGCAGATCGGCCAAGATGAGCTCGCAGCTCGTCGATCGAATACGCTGCCTGGCTCGGAGAACGAATCTTGTTCGGCGCTTGTTCGCATTCGCCTTCTGTCGGCAAGTCGTTGTGCACGGTGTGGCTCACTTCGGACGGTTTCTCCTCGCTCCTTCTCCAATTCGTCCCGCGCAGACCGCCCAAGATGCAGACCGCCCAAGATGCAGACCGCCCAAGATGCAGACCGCCCAAGATGAGCTCGCAGCTCGTCGATCGAATACGCTGCCTGGCTCGGAGAACGAATCTTGTTCGGCGCTTCTTCGCATTCGCCTTCTGTCGGCAAGTCGTTGTGCACGGTGTGGCTCACTTCGGACAGTTTCTCCTCGCTCCTTCTCCAATTCGTCCCGCGCAGACCGCCCAAGATGCAGACCGCCCAAGATGAGCTCGCAGCTCGTCGATCGAATACGCTGCTTGGCTCGGAGAACGAATCTTGTTCGGCGCTTGTTCGCATTCGCCTTCTGTCGGCAAGTCGTTGTGCACGGTGTGGCTCACTTCGGACAGTTTCTCCTCGCTCCTTCTCCAATTCGTCCCGCGCAGACCGCCCAAGATGCAGACCGCCCAAGATGAGCTCGCAGCTCGTCGATCGAATACGCTGCCTGGCTCGGAGAACGAATCTTGTTCGGCGCTTGTTCGCATTCGCCTTCTGTCGGCAAGTCGTTGTGCACGGTGTGGCTCACTTCGGACAGTTTCTCCTCGCTCCTTCTCCAATTCGTCCCGCGCAGACCGCCCAAGATGCAGACCGCCCAAGATGCAGATCGGCCAAGATGAGCTCGCAGCTCGTCGATCGAATACGCTGCCTGGCTCGGAGAACGAATCTTGTTCGGCGCTTGTTCGCATTCGCCTTCTGTCGGCAAGTCGTTGTGCACGGTGTGGCTCACTTCGGACGGTTTCTCCTCGCTCCTTCTCCAATTCGTCCCGCGCAGACCGCCCAAGATGCAGACCGCCCAAGATGCAGACCGCCCAAGATGCAGACCGGCCAAGATGAGCTCGCAGCCCGTCGATCGAATACGCTGCCTGTCTCGGAGAACGAATCTTGTTCGGCGCTTCTTCGCATTCGCCTTCTGTCGGCAAGTCGTTGTGCACGGTGTGGCTCACTTCGGACAGTTTCTCCTCGCTCCTTCTCCAATTCGTCCCGCGCAGACCGCCCAAGATGCAGACCGCCCAAGATGAGCCCTCAGCTGTGAAGTGCTGAATAAGAATTGATCTCTGAGAAAGGCGGCAGGGCCGATCGATTGGAAGTATGGGGGGTCAGTGATCGAGAGACAGGCAGCGAGGATCTATGGATCAGAGGGAGTTCTTCGGGAGATCTCAAGTGGCCCGATGACGCCGGTGCGTAAGGCACGACATGTGGCAAGCTGGATTGTGGATGATCGCGTTCGAACCGTGGCGTGATTCGAGGCCGACCCAAGTCCCGATCGACGACAGATCTCGCAGATCTAGGATGGCCGAGGGCAGAAGATGATGGATCGGCGGCGTACGGCAACCGGCACAAGTCGTCGATCGATAGTTGATCGCCGATCGCAGATCAGGAGTCGATCGTGGATCGCGAGCCGATCGTGGGTTGATCGTGGATCGTGGATCGACCACGATGGGATGCACATGGAGGACGAAGTCAGGACAAGAATCCAGTGGCTGTGGAGTTATAGGATGGTAGATGAGATGGTAGCGGTAGAGAGACACCAGCTAAACCTAAATCAGAAGAAAATTTGCACCAAAGACCACAAGTCCCCTCAAGTCACCAAGTCCCAGGAACTACATTGGCCTCGGCAGTGTCGGCACTTTGGGTAGTGAACTAGCGGTACGGTTAAGACTGGATTAATACATTGGTCAGCTTGACATACTCTAGTGATCTATCTCTTGTGTGCGAACACTCGATCGACCGGATATTAGTGCTTGGCCGGCGATCGTTTCTCCTCTCGACCAACTTCGATCCCGCTATAGG